GGATCATGGAGAATTACGAAGCTACAACAATGTCCTCATTACTCTATACACCATAAAACTTAAGTTCACACATACTTCATGTTGAAAAAAGGTAGACACAACCGCATTCCTTTGCATCAAAAAGTTTGAACGTGAGTGCCATTTACTATACACTGTACCTCATATAATAACGAGAAAACTATGCTCAATTATGCTTATGCTTCAATTAGATATAATATGTACAAGATAGGTTCCCTACTTTTAGAGATCTAGATATCAAAGAAAAATTCATATTTCCCACGCAAGATAAACCGTTATTATCAGCTAAATGTGTTCTTACACTTACATTTGTTTCAAGAAGCAAGATGAAGTTGAATTTGCACATATTAGTGCACTATAGATATACTATGATACCAAACTTGTATCACTGTTATTGTACATGACGCTATCACCGTGACCCGTTCTTATCTTGTAATAAGGGCATACATGTACAATTAAGGTCTTTCATTCATTCATTTATAGATTCATTCATTTATGCATCCATGCATTCATTCATACTATGAGTAAGATCAGACACATGCATCTAGTCAATATAGCACATCATTGTACAGAGCAAAAGCACGCCGTTTATGAACTGAGTTCTAACATCTTTATGCATTGGCTAGAATAGATCATGAGGTGAACTTTAGATGTGTATTTCAATGTTAAACATTTATAACGTCAGCCCTCGCCGTGGCTGCAGGTGGCACACTTGTTCCCACCGGTGGCATTTAGATGTGCTGAAAAATCACTCAGCAGGTCCAACACCTGTAAACATCAGACAGTCGGAAACTCCTGGGATCACCAACAACCCATTATGATATCAATAACGCTATGTCATTGGTACGCGGTGTGGTTGTTAATGTGCCTAATGTAGGCAAACGGAATTACATGGCTGATTTACCGTGCAATCTGCCGATCCAGGCGTGAGATTGGACGTATCATCATTTGATTCATGTAATAGTTACCAGAATAGGTATTCTCTTTATTCTCTTTATTCCGTTACCCTTTAGCCAAAGGGCTAATCGTCCAGGGCTCATTAACAATCATACATACAACAAATAACATAGTACAAACACACACATATAGCACAAAAAGAGATTTACACTATATTCAAATGAAGGAACCTAATATACAAACTAATCATAGAAATCACACTGTACGAGCAGTTGGCGGATAGCTTTAGGAAAGTTAGGTGTACTGTTAAGGAAAACTGCAACATGTCTTGGCATTATTAGTTGCACTCCACTTAACTATTTTAGTTCTGTCACATTATCGATGCTCAGTGGAAAAGGGGGTCACCTTCTAAAAGTCGATTGGTCCTGCCCCTGAGTTAGTCATCTCTCTAACGACTAATGACACTGGAGGTAAAACTCTGCTCCAAGAGGATTAGACCGTGCCATATATGTTTGAAGTGACCGCTTAACGGGTCAGTTACGAGTTAATCCGAGATTGAACGGGTTAATCGAAAACTTTAAGGTCCAAAGCAGACGGCAATCGATTGCTTTTCCTGTCGATAAATTCTAACAAACCGGGAGCCGTTTGGGTGTCAACACGTATTGATTAATATCTCTTCAAAGGAATCTCTCGCAGTGGAACAAGCATGTATTTATCTATGCCAATCTATACAAAAGTAAAATGGGTCAACATGAGACTTTTGTGTCAAACAATTATCTCTGATCAATTGGTAATTATACACATCAAAGACTTCGATGTGAGATCAGCTATACGTAAGCTTAAAGTTTGCTCACATACATTAGAAATAGAAAAGAGTAGATACAAATAATTGTCTTTTAACGACAGAATATGTACATATTTTATAGAAAATGCAGTGGGGGACGAAATGCGCTTTATTTGACATTGCCCTCATTTATATAGCACCGAATGTGATAAGTTATTTGCAAAAACTGCATTTCTGCAATCAACATCTCTAAATTCATACAGCTTGCAAAGTGTTGGGCATTGCATACTCCACTGCACACTAAAAATCATACCTAACAATAAATATATCCAAAGTAGCATTTGCATTACTTATTATCATTTTTACTGTCTATTTTGTTATCATGTTCTTGATATTTGCCCTCGGGCATGAATATACAATAAACTTTCTATTATAAGGTTAATGATCTTTTTTCTGTAATTCTAGGTGGCCTATTTGGATCTTCCACAGCGGACTGGGTGGCAGAACTTGCTTTGAACGTTGCCATAGAAATGGTGAACACCAATCCAGAGTTGCTTCCCAACGTCACAATCAGTGCCGTGCTCAACAGAACTCAGCATTACCTAACAACGTTCAGAAACATACAGAACAGTAAGTACAGACCTATCATTATCATTGTCTATACAATAAACTGGTGGACGTGCCAATTACTACCTACCTACCTAGTCCCATGACCGACACTGGTCGTCGGGGGGGGGGGGAGCTTAAGACAGACCCTGTAGAGGTGCTGTCAGCTCTTCCTGTCTTGGGCTGCCGTCACAAATTACTACTACTAGAAAAGAACAAGGAATAGTCATACCTATAAGTACTAGAGTTATCAACGGAAGATTGAGGTGTTCAAAACTCATTCTTTCCAAGAACTACCGCAGAGTGAAAAACTATCACAGATACAAATACTACACTGTGCAACACTCACACTCACTCACTATCCAGCTGAACAGAAATCAATCAGACCAAGAGGGTTGTTACATTTTACTATCTCTGGTACATTCTACAGCCTAAAAAGCGATATTTGTGGTCCTCCTTTCTACAGAATTCAGAATATTGACTGCCCTAAAGATGTCCGTTTTCGATTGAGACCACTTTCGATTGGATCAAGTTACCAAACATAATTTATATTTCAGCTGAATGTAAGTAAGCTGTCGACCAAAGGTGATCCTAAGTTGCCATATATGTGTTGTTAATAGAATGTATGCCTATAGTGACAACATCTATAAATACCACATTTTCCTTGCTTTCTTAGCTTACGTCTGACTCCATTTCTCCATGTCAGTTGCCACAGAAATATAACAAAGTCGATGGTTCAATGCACTCAAATCACTATCATCATACAGGCTGTGTGACCAATCAATATATACGGCAGACGCTTCTGAATAATAGCTTTGTGTGACCTTTGTTGGCAGGGAAAATGTTTGACTTTGACTTTGTGTTGCGTAAGCACCTTAGCGCTGACCGCTGGCCTTGGTCACGCATTACTTTGGAAGATTAACGCTGTGTATATGGTAATACATCGGAAATGTTTGACCTTTTAGCAAAATGTCAGCACATCCTTTCGAATGTGTTTAAGCTTCAAACCTTTGTGTGCTTCATTTATCCGTTTAATGTAGTGAATAAGTACCTGTATTATCTTCAATCTGCTGCCGCATTATAGAAATACTCTACTCACGGTTCAATCATTCCAACGATTTATCCATTAAATCCTTTAAAATCAAATGTTTTATGGGACCAAAAAATGAAAGGTTCTTGACTTCATGCGTATTATATATACATGCTTGATAATTGGTTGTTGACCCATTTTGGGGTGGGGATTTAAAAGCTCGTATTCGTGTCTATCCATTGGTTACGCCGCATGTTCGTGGCAGACTGGGAGCCCATACATTTTATTTTATTTTCCGTCATTTTTATACAGGGTAACCCAATTCAGTGATGACACTGCTTTTCAACGGGGCCCTGTATTACACAGCACAGTACAACAATCACATACAAATAATAACATTAGCATACAAAAATTATACAATAAATAATTATAATGGCAATGATAATAACGAAAATAATAAATAAATTATAATGGCAATGATAATAACGAAAACACAGTAATTAACCAATAACAGTAATAAATAGTAATAATAACAAAAAATACATCATTGTCCAGTCCAGTCATTGTCATTGTCCAGTCCTATATGTTGGCATGGAGGGGTCAGAGGTCAGGCCAATTCTTACATTTCATTTTAAAAATGGACATGGACGGACAGGTCTTAATAGCAGTTGGCAGCCTGTTCCAGAGGGCAGGGCCTCTGTAGGAGAATTTGCGCTTTCCACATTCAAGGCGAACAAGCGGCAGTTTCAAAGATAGGTTCTGGCTGTGTCTGGTGGGGTATCTGTGGGATTCAAAAGCCATCTGGAAGTTATCTATGTAGTCTGGGAGTTCATTGTTGACTGCCTTGTACATTGATTGTAGCAGGTGCAAG